CTTTTTTTCGTAGCACTAGTTTTGCGATTTTTGCAAATGCTCAAAATATTATGGTCCGAAAGTTTTTTTCCGTTTCTTCAACCTTTCACAATAACAGTGAAATAAGGGCAGGCCAAGCTGTAAACATTATCGGACGCAGGTTTTCTTCCTCTTTCCAAAAGTCATGTTTTGGGACCATTTGCTCTGGTGGTTTCTGAGATGATTGCCGAAATTTCAGACTCATGATTTTTACCGTGCCCGAAATCTTCATTTTGGACTTTTGGAAGCACCTTAGTTGTGCTCCGTTTGATGTTCTGTGAATTTTAAAATGGCCTAGTGGAACTTGATAGCATTAAAAATATAATTTTAAAAACTTTGGAAAGCCAGCTATTGGGGCCAGAACATTTCACTGCATTGCACTTTGTTGACGTTACCTAAATGCTATAATATAAAAGCTTTTCCAGAAGTTCAAATGAAGGTTTTGAAAAATTGCCAAAAGTTGGGCAAAGTAAAAATCATAGGTTTGACTTCGTCAGTTATCCCAGAAATCATCAAAGCAAATGGCCCCAAAACAAGACTGTTGGAAAGAGGAAGAAAAACTGCGTCCGTTAGTACTTTATGCCTACCCTTATTTCACGTATCTATGAAAGGTTGAAAAACGGAAAGATTTCGAACCGATCTAATACAATACAGACCATTGCGTCAGATACCGTCATACCACGGAACTACTCAAAAAAGCACTGGAACACATGGGGATATACTCGATGGATTTCGGGATGTATAGTGCTATCATCTTGCAACATGTGTTTGGCTGCACTGTGGCAAAATTCTTGGAATGATTCAGGAATCTCTTTAGCTCAAACGTGGTTGTTAACTCTCAATTTAAAATTTTTTGGAAAACCCAGTCCCAAGATCTGATTGAGCGACTATTAGGTTATAACAGAATTGATGCAGGTGTTCAAAATTTGAATTTGAAGCATTATTTTTACAGGTCATGCCCCAAAGAGTGCTGCGAGTTTTGTGACCATGACTTACGTCGCAATATAGTAACATAAACTGTACTCTTTGTGTAGGCACATTCGACTGTGCAGTGCTAAGCTTGCTTCTATAAAACATGCCAGAATATATTTCAAAAATTTTTGATTTACTCATTTTTCTATTACCTTTTTGCTATTTTCAAATTTCTCGCAGAAGGGAAATATTAGGTTGCCCGGAAATTAATGCCCGTTTTGAATTTCAACCGCAATAAATCATACACTTCTCACTACTGAATGGGATTCAAAGTACCATTCGATAAAGCAAAGCAAGCTCTACAAGAGGGCCATCTTGCTTTTGCAACAGCTCTCATCCACCTCGAGCTTCGAGCCAAAAACTTAAAAGACTCAGCAGCCCAAAAAATCGAAAAAAATCGTAACAGTTCATAAAAATCCTACAAAATTTCTTACTTGCTCACGTAATAACTATCCACATAAAACACCTATATAAGCCTTTGCCGTATTTTTTCCTCTGTTAGAAATCAAGAAAACGGAAATTTTCGTGCATTTGCCAAAGTGATTCTGTGTAGTCCCCACATGCGTTATTGTGTACTACAAACAAGTAGAAGTACAAACATAAATTTTCAGCTCTCTACAAGCTTTAGTTCTCGAGAAATTTGAATTTTAGCTTGGAACCACCTAACTAGGGAAAGCTATATTCGGTATTTCTCGAGAACTAAAGCTTGTAGAGAGCTGACAATTTAAGTCTGTACTTCTACAGGCTTGAGGTATACAACTACCTATGTGGGGACGGCACAGCATCACTTTGGCAAATGTACGAAAATTTCCGTTTTCTTGGTCTCTAACAGAGGGAAAATATGGCAAAGATGTATATAGATGTTTTATATGGATAGTGTTTACATGAACAAGTAAGAATTTTTGTAGGATTTTTATGGACTTAGTTACTGTTTTTTTTCTCGATATTTCGGGCTGCTGAGTCTTTTTAGTTTTTGGCTCGAAACTCGAGGAGGATGAAAGCTGTTGCAAAAACTAGATAGCCATCTTATAGCGCTTGCTTTGCTCTATCGAATGGTACTTTGCAACCTACCTATTTAGAAGTGAGAAGTGTATGACTCATTGCGGTTGAAATTCAAAACGGGCATTGATTTCCAGACAACCTAATAACTTGTGGTTCTTCTACTATCAACTGCTACGTCTTCTGTACACAGCGAAAGATCTGCAATTGTTTTGTGCATAAGTTTTAATACGCCGCCTTAGAAATATCGCTGCAGTCTTTTGACTTTGAAATGAAATTTCTCGTTCGTAACCATCTTGAAAGATTTTTTGTAATGTGAATTTTGTAGTACAACTCAATTCACAATTTGACTCGACTTTTCGGGTTTAGAAGGCAGAGAGCGAAAAATTTCAAGAACTCGTTTCTTGCTTTCTGAGACGCCGAAGTTCAAAATAAACCCATTCCTATACGAAAGCATGCTTAACCCATTGACGACGACGCCTGATTTTGCGCGGCGGCGCTGTGGGACGACGCGATTTTGCAAAACACTTTCAGTGTGGAAAGGTTTCGTGCTTATTTACGAAATACAACATTGTTTTGTAAACAACTATTATCATTTTCTTGAACGACAGAGCCTATAGGTCCTAGGAGTACAGAAAATTGGAAAAAATATTCATATGTGGGAAAAATGTTAGACCTGCAAATAATGCGACTTTGCGAGAAATGTGGGTCACCGGGAGTCCACATCGTCCCTGGCAGCAAGAAGCGCGTAGGCCACCGGTGGTCCACATCGTCGTCAATGGGTTAGAAAACCAGAAAAAGAGTGCAACTATAGGATATAGAAGTTTTCTGAGAAAATGGAATCTTGTGTTTCAACACTGTGAAAGAGTTGCGAATAACCCGCATCAATTCTGTACGACCTAAAAGACGCAACTAAACGCTTTGAGTGAGATCGTGCTCTCAAAAATCTGTACAAATAGAACATCCTTATGTCCAACAATTAGTATCACACTTGTGATACGTTTACTGACCGCAAAAAAGAATGGTGCAGCAGAATGAAGCAAATGCTTGCCCCTTGTAGCCGCAAGACGCACAAAAAGCGCGAGCATTGAGGAGGCGGATCTAAAAAACTTTTCAGGAGGTACTGGAAAACGTACCGAATCAAATCCCCCTAACTTCACTCATAAAGTGGCTGGAGAGGAGTAAGCAGAAGATTTTTATTCGCATTCCGATTTCCAAAATAACTTGAAGGAAACAGAACTCGAAAGCCGGTAGTCAGGCTGAATTCAGGAACTGTTTTTGGAACCTTGGTAATTGTTACTTATATAACTCAGGCTGCTGCAATTGTGGCGTTCAAATCGCTAATTCAGTATTCGAACGCATGCGAATGTGCTCGCATCGTCCTCAGATCTTATCAAAACTTACTGAGCGAGATCTAGTAAATGAGAAACTTTTTGAAAGATGCTGAACCGTTATTTCGATATGAGCAATAAGAGATTCCATTCGTGCGGAAAATGCTAAACTATCGACGTTCTTTCACAGCGCAGAAGCTATGATTAGAAAAAAGAACTGCTTAGACTTCATTTACAACTATCGGGCACAAATCGAGAATGTTGCTGTTAAGTGTTCACTAATCTTTGCCGAAAACTGCGACGGAAATCTCATAAACGGTTGGATTCAGACGTGGTAGCTGTAGCCAGTTTAAAAGTCCTGCACTTTTCCCGAAAGCTTCGAAACTTCCAAGTTCATAATTGGTAGAAAGAGGAAGAAAAGCTGCACGATGTGCGACCAAAATCGTCTACTAATCGTAATTTGGCTGATGTGGTGCTTAGTAAAAAAAACTCGAAAATACTTTCTCGATAACCTAATATTTTGTCACTGTAAAATCAAAGACTTCATTGAATTTTTCAAGTATGATGTGGGTTTTCCACAAATCTATTAATTTTATCTCATATGTAGCTACTTCTAAAAACGACGAGCTGGAGCTCATTCGATGAAACTAATTTTCTGGTTTTGTGACCGGCTGCAGTCGCAGACTACTGATTTGTCATCAGCCAACAGTCAGTGGTGCCATGCTGCGCACTACTTGAAATAAATGAAGTGCATATTCATACTAACTATGGAATTCTACTACTGCAACCACTGACTGACTGAACTCCAAAAAATCTAGAACAATCTTTCAAACCATTCCCAGTTGAGTATGAGACTGAGATACTTATTTATGAGTACCTGCACCTTTACGATCAAGATGAGTGCACATTGAGGCCAAGCTATGAGCTGAGCACTCCTTTCGCCCCTGTGAGTGTGTCCAATGCCTTCGAGGGAGTGGGAGGGGAAGGGGGGGGGGGGAGGCTTGGGATGCTGAGCATTCCTACGAAAGCAGCAGGGTGCAGGAACTCTGCTAAACTCCAAGTTGTAAAAAACTCTTCCACAAATGTCTCTAACATTCATTGACAAGTTTTTCCGAATTCTCTTAATCTGCTACTGCTTGCGTACCTCTTGCAGATACAGGCGGGTAAGCCCTTGGTTCCTCCCGCGCGTCCCCCCTAATGAGAGCTCCAAAATATACAGCTAAAAGTCCTTTTGGGTTTTTCAATCGACTAGTTAGCTTATTACCAGGTGCAATGTTCAATGCTAGGCCATAAAAGACTCTTCTTCAGCAAAAATTATGTACAAAGGCCCATTTAGGTCAGATTAACTGAGAATTTATTGCAAAGAATGCGAAATCGTACCTTTGCCAACAGTGTTGTAGAGGTGTCCTTTCTGATTAGTGCTGCGGACTTAATCTCTGCGCAAAAGAAAAAAGTGGACGAGCATTCCATGACGCTAGTCTACCCATATTGTTCGGTGCGACATCTTCGTTCTAAAACATTTGTATTATTATTTACTGTATTCAACAAAAACCTGACACTACTCATTTTCGTACACTGTAGCACTTGTATTCGTTATACTTTCTGAACTTAGACCGGACCCTTGGATAAGACTTCTCGTGTCTTGCATCACAACAATGGTGGAATGGTATATTTGCTCAGCTATGCAAATTCAATTGAGATCGTTATATGCGATCCTCCTGACCTGCAAAAGAAGAAAAGAAAGAGTCGAAAAATGAGACAGAGAAACATTTCTAACGAAAAATACTTACCAACTGCTAATGGTAGTGGTAACCCAGCGATACGTATAAATAGATGAGTTAGCCGTATGTCGACACAGGTTTTGGAATGCTCCTTCGCCGCTCGTCTTCGCGCCTGTTTTCTTGATCTCCGATGGTAAGGTCAGCCTTGCTAGGGGCGGCAACTATCTGCAACAGAAGTGTTAAACAAGTACGGAGCTCCATTTAGGGCTACAAAAATGAAGGTACTGCAATTTGTTGAGGGGCAAGAAAATGACTAAAAACACAAAACAAGAAACACTGCCTAGAAAGGGAATGGAAAGATGACAGGAATTGTGTTCTATATCAGGGATTGATTATTAGACCTCTAACATGATCTTCAGTGGCTGTTAAAACATTTCGTAGCGAAAGTTTCCGTTTTTTTTTTTGTTTCGCCTACAGAAGAGCCATAATCATAGACTCGAATCCATTTTCATGCTAGTTGCTAGATAACTGAATTCAGACTTTCAATACAAAAAACTGTTGTTACCGTCGTTAGTAAGTAACAAATATTTTAAGACGTTAGTTGAAATTCGACGGTGTCTCGAGAACGCTGAGGCTTAAGCAAGCGTGAATAAAGCACAATTAGGGTACTATTCCAGTATACCGACCCCAAAAATTGAAAATCTCGGATTTCGCTCAAACTCGGTATAGGGGGGCTATTCGATCCGCTGATGCCGAAAATCATATCGATTCCGTGCGATAGTGCCATTTTCCGGGGGTTACGGTGGGTATATGGTAGGAGGTCAAAATCACAAAATTCTCTGAAACTTGGTGCAGGGGGGTTATTTGACATGCTGAACACGAATATGATATCCATTCGTTACGTTAGCACCTCATTCCGGGATTACGGTGGGTATACTGTAAGAGGGTCTAATTCACTGCTTTCCACACCCACCGCCGCGCGCGATACACCCTGCGGCGGCTTTTGCCTAAGCAAAGCAGGGGGAGGAAATTTCCGACGTGTGACTGAGATTTCAAGCCCATCTCGATCTAGCGGTGGTATTGGTAATGTATACCCAAAGTAACTCGGAATGAGGCACTATCGTAACTAATAAACACCATAATCTGATCAGCATGTCAAATAACCCCCTACACGAAGTTCCAGCGGATATCGTGGTTTTGACCCCTTACCGTATAACCACCATAACCCCGGAATGAGGAGCTACCGTAACAAATGAATATCGTATTCGTGTTCAGCATGTCGGATAACCCCCTCTTACCTAGTTCCAGAGAATTTTGTGATTTTGACCCCCTACCGTATACCCACCGCAACCCCCGGAAAATGGCGCTATCGCACGGAATCGATATATTTGGCATCAGCGGGTCGAACAACCCCCCTATACCGAGTTTGAGCGAAATCCGAGATTTTTAATTTTGGGGTCGGTATACTGGAATAGTGCCAAATATTCTAACAAGGGAACCGTGTCAAGTCGAAGTGGCCTTTCCAGATGAGACCCATACTGCTTTGAAGAGTATTAAGCGGTGATTCCAAATCTGCTTTCCAAATCTGTCAAGCGCCTCTGGACGCTGAGTTGTGACCGTTTTTCGGAACGAAAAATGAATGCAGAATTTAGGTAAAATTGATTGTTACAATCTTTCCAGCGCTCAGATAAAGCAATGTTAAGTATTAACATATAAAATAAAATGTATCCATTGCATAAACAGCTCTGATACTCGACACTGGACCATTTGAGCAAATTTGGGCGATTTTACTTCAGTTTTGCGTTCAATTTTTTGAACTGAAAAACGAGCATAACTCGGCGTTCAGAGGCGCTTGGCAGATTTGGAAAGCAGATTTGGAATCATCGATTAATGCTCTTCAAAGCAGTATGGGTCTCATCTGGAAAGGCCACTTCGACTCGACACGGTTCCCTTGTAAGATCACTGCAACATTTGCGAACTAAGTGGAACTGAAATGAAGTACCCTATTTTCAGGTGTATAAGCCGCACCCTTTTCACCTAAAGGCGAACACGCCAACAGACTGACTGTCATCATGGAGCGCGTTAAAGGCACCGTCCACCCAAACTGGGGTTGGTAAAATTATGATACCTAGCCGATGCGGGGCCCCCAACTAAATGATTGCCCAACTCGCGCTGCCTGAAGTTGCTTCCGAACCGAGAAAATTGCTTCGGAAATCGCTTCAGGCCGCGTTCGCGACGTTGGCTCCTCCCCTTTCGGAGTGGGCGTGACGTTCGTCCCGCCCATCCGTGCGCGCCCAACCAATCACGTACCGAAGAAATCGCTCTGCGAGTTCTGAAAGCAGGGGTTTTTCGTGGTTTTCGCGGATTTTCAACTTGATATTCGGAATCAGGGATATGAGAAGGCCCTGGAACGGCAAAAACACGGAGGTCGAAATTTTGGGTGGACGGTGCCTTTAAGTGAGAGCAGTATGCGATAAGGCGACCGCTTCGCGAGACATACGCGCGGCGACACGCCTGGGTCTGCTCGCGTTTAGAGCAAAAAGGGTGCGGCTTATACACCTGAAAATAGGGTAGAAAGATCGAGCAAACTAAACTCGATGGACATGCTTGGAGACAAGTGGCACGAAAATGGTATAGGTATTACAAAGAGACATCATTTTTATGGGATAAAGCACATGCTTGTGCTCACTATCGTAACGAAGTCACATATTATCTTAGGGCCTGTTTGAGCGAGAGAAGAGCGATGAAGGTGTGTGGTAGGAAACATTTCTTAAATTTGATTCTTGATCCAGACTGATTCTTGGAAATTTTTTATGCAGACTTTACGCATATGGAAATTTCATGTTGTTGGGTTTAGTTCTCCGATATAAGATCTCTAGTTCGTTTTCTCATTTCAAACAATGGTATCGTGAATTCATTTGAGTAGTAAATGCAAAATTTTGATAATTGATATCCTATTTACTATAGATTGGTTTTCCTTCAATTTTGATAAGAATAATAGTCATATTTGCGGTGAATTGAATGTATTATTTTTAAAGTGAGCTTTTCTGTCTTTTCCAAACACAGAACTCTCAAAGAAGAAAATATCCAATTTTCTCACAGCTCCGATATCGATTCAAAGCAAAATGGCTACCACATGAAGGACATGAAGGATGTTGGCAAAGGGGCTGGAGCCACGCCATTGAGTGAAAATATTGCTCTCATCAGAAGAATTTTTGTAAGCGTCACGCGACTTGTCTAACAAGGAAAGAATACTTGGTCGAAGTAGCGTTTCCGTATAAGATGCATAATGTTTTATAGAGCGTTTAACGCTGATTCCAGATCTGCTTTCAATATCTGCAAAGCGTTTCTGGGAAGGGAGTTATGCGAATTTTTTGAGGTAGAAATTCAATGATTTGGCTAAGATAAAAATAGGTGTTGAGGTCTTTTCGACGCATGAAATAAGTAATAACTGACATGAGCTTATTAGATTGAAAGCCTTGTTCCATAAAATGCCCTGGTAGCAATCGTGGCCCCATCTGAACTCACGGACTAAGGTTCCGAATGATTTTATTGTAGCGGCGCTTTCAAATTTTATCATAAAAAATTTCCATATTTCCCCTCCCAAAAGCGCTTTGCAGGTATCGAAAGTAGATTTGAACTCAGCGTTTCATCTTCTTATATATAAAGCTGAATGTCTGTTTGTCTGTATGTCTGTCTGTCTGTATGTATGTATGTATGTATGTATGTATGTTCCGAATAGAAAATTCCATTTCTGAACCGATCCGGACCAAACTTGGCACACATACACTTCGGGCCCCGGCGGGTGTCATAGGCTACTTTTCGTCATCGATCGATATCGATTTTATCGATTTTTATCGATTTTTTTGCTGAGTTCACCTACGAGGCTGGGAGTTGGCACAGGGGGGTAATCGAGCATGGAGATTCCGAATACAATATCGGTTTTCAGGATTATCGATTACTTTTATCGATTTTATCGATTTTTTGCAAAGTTTGAGCTACGGGGCTGGGAGTTCGCACAGGGGGGGGGTAATCGAGCATGGGGATTCCGACTCAAATTTTCAAAAAATCGATAAAATCGATAAAAGTAATGGACGATCTTGAAAACTAATATTGTATTCGTAATCAGCATGCTCGATTACCCCCTGTGCAAAATCCCAGCCTCGCATGTCAAAATTTACAAAAAATCGATAAAATCAATAAAAGTAATCGATAATTCTGAAAACTAATATTGTATTCGGAATCCCCATGCTCACTTCCCCCCCTGTGCCAACTCCTAGCCCTGTAGGTGAACTCTGCAAAAAATCGATAAAAATCGGTAAAATCGACATCGATCGATAACGAAAAGTGGACTGTGACACCCGCCGGGGCCCGAAGAGTATGTGTGCCAAGTTTGGTCCGGATACGGCGGAGCCGGGTAAGCCAGCTAGTGCTCTATAAAACAGTATACATTTTGTACGTAAACGCCACTTCGACCCTTGCAAGAGGTATTACGATAGAATGCAGCCAATCTAAGGCACACAACATACTTGTTACACTTCGCTATTGGTCAAATCTCGCTGAGTCAACCAATAGCGAGGATCAAATTCGTGAGTGCCTAACTACTCCAATTTTGCTACACCAGCTAATAGTTCGGAGACCCTTAGAAAGAATTTGGTCCAACAGTAAATCAAACAACATGACAATAGCTGTTTCGTTACGAATATGAATCTAATCCAAAACAGCTCCTCACTTTTGGATTTAGGAAACAATCAATGAAAGAAAGACTGCCTATCGAATTGATCTTATCCCGAAACCTTCAGTTCTTGGCGGGTGGCGGTCAAGAATAACGATAGCTCTGCCAGCCGCTAGCTGCCAGCTGCTCGCGCGCGCAGAACAGCCCGCCCTCACTCATTCATGAAGTTGAGAGAAATCATTCAAACTTCAGTTCTCTTCTTTGAAGTTCGTTTTCTACAACGACCAAAGAAGCTTAGGTACTTCACATGCTAAATTGAGCCCAAAACATTTCTATCTCATGTTTATGGCGATGTGATTGCTGATTATTTCCATCTTTAAAAAATAGCAGAAGCCTTAATATAAAGCATTTTTGAAGAAAAACAAAGTTTTGGGCATTTACTGCTCCAAAATGTAAGGCCTGCGTAAGATCGTCCGCTGCTGTGGCGGTGCTACCAGTGCACCGTTTATTGACACCCGGGCACTCGGAGTGCCACTATTGCCACCTATCGTTATTCTTGACATATACCCGTTCTTGGCTGTATGTGAGCCTATGTACTTTTTCATAATTTTGACAGCCGTATGACACCAATGCAATTCGAAGTTAAGCTGTCCACTTCCTAGGTAAGAGTCGATGGTCTAGATAGCAAGACGTCTAACCTTCTAGGCAGCTTCGTGCACTGTTTGCTTATCTTCTAGCATAAGAAAGAATTGGTGAAGCATTGTTTTCCATCACTATCAATGCCAGAATTATGATAACCAAAAATATCGAAAGCAAGTGAACCATAGAAAAACATCAACAAAGTGAATTATGAAAATTTTTATAACAATTTTCTCATAAACTCTGAAATGGTAAAACAACAGATCACACAGGATAGAGAACTTCTGACAAATTGAAAAATATTGTGAGCACACTACTGTACAATTCCTGCTTTTTTGGCCATCGAGTAAAACTCGGACATCCTATTGTTGAGTAGTCTAGAGGGGCTATCGAATTCGCATATTCGGCCATCATGCAGTACTATGATCCTTAAAAAATCGCCGAAATTCATCATTTCAAGAAAAAAAAGGACTTGTTCAAATGTGCTTACCTGTCATAGTCCATGATAGTGTTAAGTCGATGAGCTATTGTAAGAACCGTACTTTGTGAGAATTCTCTACGAATAGTGCGTTGGATAAGAGCATCTGTACCCATATCGACAGCAGCAGTGGCTTCGTCCAGGATTAAGACGCGGGTTTTTCTCAACAAAGCACGTGCTAGACATACCAGCTGCCTTTGTCCAACACTCAAAAAAAGCACATTCAGATCAAGAAGTAATGTTTTTACCATGATATAAAATTACAGAAAAAAATCAAAAAAATGAAAAAAGAAATACAAAAAGACCTGATATTCTCTCCTCCTTCTGTTATTTCATGGTCTAGCTTCGACGGTTGCGACTGCGCAAAAGGCTTGAGGTTTGCCAACTCCAAAGCATGCCAGATCTCGTCATCGCTATGTGTTTGGAACGGATCCAAATTAAAGCTAAAAGGAAAAGTCTCTACATTATCTAATCTTAATTTACGGAAGTATTACCGCAGGGTTCCGGAGAAAAGCACTGGATCCTGGGGGATAATCGTCAGATGGCTGCGTAAATCATGAAGTCCTAATCGAGCAATGTCAATGCCATCTATAATTATTCGTCCGGCAGCTGGTTCTACCATACGGAACAGCGCGAGCGTGACAGACGATTTTCCTAGAAATTACATAAGACACATTGTACCGTATCCAATTTTCTACAAAAATACCTGCTCCCGTCCTTCCAACAATCCCAACTTTCTCGTGGGGCCCTATAGTTGCATTCAATGATTTGAGGACAAGATCTAGCCCAGGTCGATATCTGTAAAAAAGCTCATTCAGCGGCGAACTCAACTTGAGCTCTTTCCCATGTTTCACAGAATTTTTTTTTGCATTCGTTTCGAAAAAAGATGAAGTATATCTCGAATGTAAAACAACTTGATGACTTCGAAAGATCAGCAAGAAAATTACCGAGAGGAATAGTTTTCTATCCGAATGTTCCCTTTACTTGGCCATTCTGATGGAGGACGCTGATCGATTTCAGATTCCCAGGCTGCCTAAAAATCACTTTACACAGCTCCACTTCATGCACATGTAAAATAAAAAGACAAAATTGTTGATGAAGAAAAAATATACAGATACTAGCTGCTAACCTCTGATACAGTGTTAGAGTACTCTCGTATACGCTCTACTGAAACTATGTTTGTCTCCAGTTTGCTGATTTGACGCACAGCTAGGTTGAGGACAGTGGTGATCTGAATGCACATGACAGAGTTCGCTTGAAAATGAACTTTGTGAACATTTTGTGAGAGAACATTCGTGGAGAGGAGCGTAATCCCGCAGCGCACTGCGCTTTCATTCTTTATATCAGAGAAATCCAGATACTCTCAGAGAAATAAATCGGGCAAAAGAGCGCATTCTCTGTACATATGTTGACATTGTGTGTAAACCTTTTCAAGAGAGTAACTCAAATAACCAACGGGTAGAATAGCGAATACCGCAGCCTCCGCCAATTACCGGTCCCAAACGTGTTACAGTAAACCGGACGAAGGCCAAAAATTCTCGAAGGTTTCACATAAAGGTATTCGCAGCGCAACCCGTTAACGACAACACTCCATCAATTTATTTGGATACTAGAGACAGCAAGTCTATCAATTCGGAGTAAATTCTCCTAGTAGCATAGCTATAAAACGAGGGGAAAAATTCGGAAACTAACATATGAAAAATAAGAAGCTGGTGAAAGCCACTTACGCTGAGTGCGTAGGACACAGACAAACCAATAACACCGGAAGTAGTTGTTGCTCTTGTAAGTGCAGCGAATAAAGCAGCAAATAGCACAACACAATTTCCCAGTAACTCCAAACGTACAGACATCCATCGATTGGCGACATAACCAAAGTAACGACACTAAAATTGAGGCTTGATGACCAAAAACTAATCAGATGATTTATTTATTTTCTTGTGGTCTCATCTGACATCTAGACAAGCACTTATCGTGAAGGAACACCTGAAGATACCCAGACTTGGGTGCATATGCTCATCAGAAAATGCTTACACAGCAGATACATTGATGAAATTGAAATTTACAGGCGTCAAAAGTCTGGGAGTCTAACTTTGCAGTACTGCAGTTAAGAAGATACTGAAGGTTTTGATTTCAGTTTTACGCCACATGATGCTGCGGTCATACTCTACAAAATACACTTTACCTAGCTGGAAATGGCTGCCATATGTTTTTGTAAGATTGCAAATTACCAAGCTAATACTTTTGCAGAGCGAAAAAGCCAGAATATTTATTATTTAATTCTTGGTATAGCTAGAGATGCTGTCAATGTTTTACAACAGTTCGATGCACACGATATAGAAGAGACTTTGCGCTATCAAATAGTTTTGCTTTTGACAGGAGCTGTTTTTATATAAAAGTAAAGTAAAAGTTTGCGAATGTCATCTAGTGCCAGTGGCCATCCGTCTTCGAAACACATTTAAAAGCTATAGAAGCGCAACAGACACTGGGACCAAGGCTATATTTTTTTGCATACGTCTTTCAAATAAGAATCTACTGAAATTTGGTCAAGGGAACATTTTTTATACTCTCTAAATGATAATTTTCCGCTTTCCTTCGCGCAATGGTAGCCAAATTTCCGGCATGCGACATATACGTGCTACTAATAAAAAATCCAATATTTTTATTACTAGACAATGCAAAAAATACTTTTGAAAGTATGTTGTAGGCAAAAGCTTGCTCTATCATGCTGCATGTTTGACAAGGTAAAAGAAGCAGTTATTGTGAGAGCGTGGGGCAAATTTCATTACGACTACCTGCGTGCCATGACAGGTGGACTTACCATGATTTTTTAGGGCCGCGTGGAAGCCAAAAGAGGCAATTTTGAAATTCAAGAACTGAGCTGCATCTGTAAGGATCGAATTATGTGTGCGCCAAATTTGTAGTCTCTAGGTACTACTCTCATTTTGTATGAAAAAGTATTAGGCTCCCAGACTTTTGACGCACCCTGTACATAACTGAAAGAGTCTACTGATTCTGAACCAAAAATCCAATCCCAACAGGGTACAGGGCAGAAACTGTTGGAAATGTAATCGAGGTATTCCATATGATAAAGGACAATACCTGAACATGTGCGTCGACTTTTTGTTCAGATATCTTGGCAAAGCGCTCCATGAGACGATAAGCGCGAATGGTAGACGCTCCCTGTACCAAAACAGTAAAAGCATCCAAACAAAAGTATAAGTGACTAGCCTGTATGCTCTCGCCAAGATGGCTGTAAATCGGCGACCGAGATATAGATTCCAGCCTTTTGAGCTGTCGGGAAGTTGCGATATAGTATCTCTGAAGATAGTATGTCATGAAGATGTGTCTAACATAGGAATGTTTGAAAATATACGAGCTACTGCTATGAAATATACACCTTGGATACTTAGCGGAACATGAAGTGACATACTAGAGATCCCATATGAAAACGCAAGACAACTTCTGTAGGTTTATAAAAATTCTGTACACCAATGTGAAGCGGAGAAGCTTCGGAAATTCCGACCGTAATATCACAGTATTCTCATAGGTTCAGTTTCAAAGCTAAGTGGAAGCCTGTTTCTGCTACTGTATGCATAGGTAGGGGAAAAAGAGAAAAGGATCAGAAAATGTTAAACATTCAGTTTATGTTCTTACGACTTCGTGTATGAAGAAAAACTACTTGCCATTATCAACGAATACAGGAAGGCGAGTGGGATGACGGCTATTCCAAAGATAGGAGTCGAAATCATAACAATCACCAACGTGGAAAGTACTTGCATCACACAGTGCATAAAGAACTGGACATTGAGTGGAAGAAGTATGTCGACAGTTTCGATGTCCTACAATGGAATGTACGATGGCGAATTGATACAACTAAGAAATTCGCACCTTCCCAATACGATTCAGTATCCTTCCAAAAGGAGTTGTATCAAAAAAGGACATTGGCGCACGAAAGATTGAATGAAGCAACGGAGCGTGAAGGTTTCGTGAAGCTGCCACACCACCAAAAAGCAACGAAACGATACCAATGAAAAGCAGAAATACTGAAAAGGTACATTAGCACAGCAGAGGAAACACGAAAGAAGAACGCAACCTTCGCTGAAACCCAGTGCGGCGTAGATCCCAAGGCGCATTCGAATTGTACTGCGACGTATAGTGCTATTCGTGACACGTGTATTGTAGTCAGACCTGCAGGACAAGGAACGGTCATATGCACCAAAATTACGTCTCTAAGTGAACTGGGACTGACCAGTCAGTCAACCACATGTTTCTTGCCATAGAGAAGATCGTCGTCAGGATCATACCCAAAACAAAAAGCACTGCGAGAGTAGTTCCCATAGCACCAAAGTAGTTGAGATAAATGTCAAACTTGATCTAAAAGCAAAATTTAACATGTTCAAACAATACTGAAGCAAAGAACGCGCAGACATGTAACCAAATCAAGTTGAAGATTCAACGTACCCTGCCGGTTTCGACATGCTCAGCTACCGTCAGCTGTCTGCATGCATCTGTGGGCGCCAGAACATTGACATTGCTACGAAGAGTAGGGTGTCTTTGCCTTTTATGGTGCTGCTTCATGGTTGATGTGCTGATACGGCGCACAATGCCAGAAACGGTGGACATATACGAGGTACCGAGGATCTAAAAAAATCTTTTCTTGCTTTTAGTCGGAGTGGTCCACATGTACACACAAAATACAGTGCATAGGTGATACATTAAATGCACAGGCCAGCCTTCACTGCAGCGCACGCGACTCGCGGTAAAATGCTTGTCCCAGTCTAATCGCAACTATACTACAAGTCGCCTCTCGCAAAGCTTGAGCCCCCGTTGCGGCCGCCGCAGACACGGCCAGACTATGCGTTCGATGAATAGAGAAAACAAATTAGTAAATAAACAACAAAGTCTGACTAATTCGAGCATCAACTTCAGTAAGTACTAGCACTCACTGAATCAATGATGGGTGATTCGCCGACTACGTCATCATAGTCGGACATGCCATATTCTAAAATGAAAACAAATGTTATAGACCTTAAAGCAAAATTCATGAACTTACCTTCTTCAGAATCACTATCCTGCTCTTCCTGCTTTTTTCTTCGTTCATGCTCCCTTTCACATTCTTCCAACAGAGGCTGTAAACCTCCGGATTGCATCAACTCTTGGTAGGAACCCACATGTTCAACCATTCCATCTATATTAGCATAGCATACGAGAGTATTATAATTTGTACAGATCAAGTAACTTACTCTTCATAACGATAACAAGATCAGAATGTTTAAGAAACGCTAACTCGTTCGTTACAAGTACTCTAGTTTTGTTTCTCAACATTCCCTCTGGTCCGATGACTGAGGAAAATAGCTAGAAACATGAGTGAAAATCATTGAAATAGCGAATCAAACATTGTGAAGCAGTACCTGAGCCCCGACATGCGAATCTACAGCACTCATTGGGTCATCGAGTAGGTAAACATCGTGGTTTTGATACACAGCACGAGCTAAAGATATTCGCGCCTTCTGTCCTCCCGACAAGTTGATTCCCTGATGAGGTACAATTGTAAAGTCAAATCTACAGACACGAGGAGGAATGTAAAGCATAAACTGCTGGACGAGAAAATCTACGGCAAAGGATGAAAATGACTACCTTACAACTATGGTAAATCCCTCACCTACCTTCTCACCAATTTCCGTCATGTCGCCCATCGGCAGCATTTGGAGATCTGGGTAAAGTGCACAAGCATCTAGCACACGATTGTAGAAGTACTCATCGAATCTTAAAATCGTGAATATTAGTTGAGATGCGCTGAACCACCCATTCGTACTTTTTCCCAAAAGTTATATTTCTTCGTATAGTCTGATTCTGCATCCAAGGTTGTTGCGGAACGTATGACACGCGGCCAGTGAGTCCAATGTAACCTTCTAGCCTGTCCATCTCTCCTGAAAACGAGTTTTTTCGACATTACCCCGCTCATACCTCAACGGAAATGCGACAAATAGCCGCAGAGACTATGCCAAAAGATAAGGCCTAGCATGCTATAACCGATTCATTTATTCGGACGCAATGGCGCCCAGTCTTTGCGTGTCATGAATCGCCTATACATAGCATTGCGCCAGGATACAGTAGGACTTCGTGCTCGGCAGTTGACTCGCAAGCCATTACTTCGTCAACAATTGGTACTCCTAATCGCGCGGCGACGGCAAGATGTTTCCACTGCCCAAATGGTAGTACGAAGAAGATGCAAAAGAACAGTTGTAAAATATGACTCCAGAAACTGGCTCACCCAACAATGCCTGCAACAAAGAGCTCTTTCCGTGACCAACACGTCCAACTACAGTAACAAGCTGCCCTTTCTTGACAGTGAAATTGAGATTGGTGAGAGCTGCTTGCGGTTCATTCTTATCCCAAGCCAACGATGAGTCAGAGATCTTGATGACTTCATTATCTCAAAGACAAAAACATGAGATGGTAATCCATTTCCAGGTAGGAAAAAATTACTGTCTCTAGCAGCACTATCGACACACATAGGTGACAGTTCTTCCGATACCAGAAACTCGGTAAGTCGCCGGTTAGATACAATAATCTGAAAAGTGGCGAAATATCTAGAAAAACGTTTAGTAAGGTCTATCCAATCCACCTGCACTGTTTGAGTAATCATTTCCGCCACTTGTGACATGGGAGTTCGCAGCTGGTTGAACAATGTGAGAGAAACAAAAGCGATCTCAGGAGTCAAAACATTTTTTTGATCAAGTATGATGAAAGTACTGAAGGTGGATAAAGCAACCTAGAAAAGTACTAATCAAGAAACAAACACAAATATGAAAGATATGAGCATACCAAAAATGGAGAAGCTGAGTTGAACATATCCGAAAGCGTTCGTAGCAAAGCAGCTCTGCGGATAAGGCTCAGCTCTTTTTCACGTAATTCAATGATGACCTTCTCCATGGGTATCTCCCAAGCGTACAGTTTAATCACCTGAAAAGTTGTCCGTTAATGCTGATGTACAATCTAGGATGCATACGAATCTCTCCACCTTGATCCCGTTCAAAACTTCGTTGACCATCTTCGTGCGCTCATCCTTGTACCACATCTGTTGGATCTGGAACAATGGAAGGTTTTCGGGCAGCCTATACCAGAGAAGTAAAACAACCAACTTGACATTTTCGTATAAGCATAGTGATTAGAAAATTGATAGGGAAAAGCATCATCATAACAGCTACTCCACTGAGTACAGCGATTCCAATCTGATGCCACAGAAAGAACAATGCAAGGCCAATCTTAACAAAAACTTGAGATGTATGTAAACTTGAAAGACACACAAATGCACCTGCAGGGGGTTGCTCCAGTATTGCATGGTTTGAGGTGAGATCTGTTGGAAGCGATCAATGTCTATAGACATCAGGTTCACAATTTCTCCTACAGTCTTTGACCGTCGCGCTGCATTAGAAAGCCTCAAAGTCTGGAAGCAGTAATAAACCTCTTAAAGCTGATTTGATTTGCAAGTCTTACCTTTCTGTAAACAGCTGCTGTTAAGCATGTCTGTACTCTTGTACCCACTCTATACATGAGGTAATAATAATGCGACTGCATCAAAGACGATAGTTCAGAGGTAGCAAACATAGTCAGAGCAAGTATAATCCCCTCCCAAAGAGGTCTTTCCGGACTTTCCGTAAATCGAATAAGAGATCTCAAACAGTGGTGGTGATTTTAATGCGAAGGATGTGTCACTGATTACCTGAGCAGCAGAGGATTGCAAAACTGCAAGAGATCGGAGATAGCCTTCGTAAACATTGCAGTAGTTATTTCCCATTTAAAAAGCAGAAACAAGCAATATATGATTGATGGTGGGCTCACTCGCGATGTCAGGTTTGGGGTAGGTACATCATCGTGCTAGAAATGACCGACTCTCGCAAAAAGGTAGAAGAAGACGTAAGCAATACGTACTTCAAAAACACTGTCCTGATCACCACCATCTGTCAAGAGTGGTGTGGTGTCGGCCTGAAAAGGCCCATTCCTAGGTCTGTCAGCATTATGTGCAGCCATCTGGGCGCAACGCTGATTGTATTCTGAATATAAAGATACAAAAGAATACACACATTCCCAACGTAATAACAGCATAAAATCGTATCATGCATGATCTAGACAAGGTGACATGTTATGTGATCGCAAAAATAAACTCGCTGTAAGTTGTTACTTCTACAAGACTAGAAAGTGTCTCTTACCTCTCATCTTTCTCTCCCACAATTTTGTCCATCTCGGTACTAATACAGCTGAAGAGTCGCCATCATTCAACGAATACAGATCCGAGGGCTGGAATATATTTGTAGATACGAGACAATAGCTAGTCTTTCCAAACTCTGATTTCAAAATCTGCTAGTCTTTCCAAATTTAAAAAAAGATCTTTGGGCAAATATCTACAGTTCTTCAGCTGAAGCTTCTGCTAGATGAAACAATACTACCAAGACATCTATAAAAACGAGTATCGCACGCAGAGACTGGACTTTCCTACGTCCGACCAAGATGGTTCAGGCTCAAAAGAGACGACGGCGGTAGGATGGATGAAAGTGCGCTAAATCAGAGAGACGCCAACACTGTCCGCAATAGTGTCCTGTCTCTGCGTGCGACGAATCCACTATACATAGTCGCCAATGTGCAAACGTCTTTCACCCCCCCCCCCCCCATGGTGCATTTATTTAGTTTAGAACTACTAAGACAAAGCTGTTTGCTCAACAATGCACACAGAATAACAAGCTCTTGGACCAACCTCCAATGGTTTTTCCACCCCTATTCGGCAGATGTCATTAAACCACCACATCGTCATGCGATTGATGAACGACGACGTAACTTCAGGTGAGGTGACCTTCAAATGAAGATGTAAGCACAGATTCGACAGCACATCTACGTCACTAGAAATATACTTAGTTCTAGCAGCCAGAGTACTCATACAGTTTCCAATAATTTATCTCATTTTTGTATTCTAAGGAGTGTTGGCCTAACTCAGCAGATGCGTTTCAACACTACGATAATAACCAAATGAACAAACCTATATTCAACTCAAAGTGCTTTTCTTCAAAAATTTCATCCCACCATCGCTCGTGATGCACCAGCCCCTTCAATGTTTCTTCTCGAAGTCTGACTTACCTTGTCTTTATCGAAGATTTTGGATGAAATAGGCGGAGTATCAGCGAAACAATGCAGTATCAACTCGACTAAACAAGTCGGCCACCAAACCATATGCGCAAGATACTGCGAAAACATTACATCACGATGATCCTGCAATTAGATAGTTACCCGAAAAATTCACTCCACTTGGTACCTTCAAGTTCCAGGTCGCATGTAGCCAATAAACCATTTCGGGAAAACCGCAAACCGTGAACAACAACCAAGAGAGGAACAAACCGCCGGAAGTCAATTTACCGCACCGTCGACAACCGTATATGAAAAGAGTGTGCAGAACCTAGATGAATATGTGGCATATAACATGCATGACTAGAAAAATAAAAGGCATACTGGAATAAAAAAACAATTTTAGAAAAAGAATCAATGAGTAAAAATTACAATATAGCAAAAAAGAACCACTTACCATGGCTAGAAATAACATGAGAGGATAAACAAATTCAACAGCATGGGGAATTCGGACAGTAGCTGCCTTCATAAACGAAGTCGCAAACAGAAATAACGCATCACAAGCAAGAAATATAGAAAATACCTTGAAGGGGTTTCAAATGAGCTTCCTCGGAAGACCCTTACGCTTGAATTTATTAGACAATCTTACCAATCTTAATATGAGCCTTCTGGTCCAAGGAAGCGGCAAACCTCTGCCGTATGTTATTTGAGCCGTAAGTATCGGAGAAATGCAGAATAGAAACAGACATGGGATCCATACTAAGGTCGTATGTTGAAAACATCGGGTTAAAGTCGGGTAACTTTTTTGCCATAATGAGTTATCCTAAACATCAGGATTATACATTTGATACTATGCAAAAGGCATGGAAAGAATGCATCAAAGAATAGAGGGATTTTGGAAAAAAATAACTTCATTGATCTGTTCGATGCATTCATAGTGCAGATCTGCACTGCTGCCAACTTCTTAAATAAGTGTATCTCACAACTTAAAAAACCTATCAAATTCTGACTGAGTGGTTGCAATAAATATAGAAATTAAGGTAGGTGACAACATTATAAGAATAAGCTAGATATCATTATCATCGTTACCTAGTTTTATTATCGAAAACCATCAACAACACAAAGTAGTATACTTTTTGAAAACCTTTCATCAGTCAAAAAACTGTCAAAAGGAGAATGTCTAATAGATGTAGATTACAATTAGGGATTTTTCTAGCATAAGACGAATGACTTTGAGCCATTCATAGACGTAGAAGATAATAGTAAAGACAATCTGGAAAGTTGATAAGGGACATGAGACTCAGCCAGTTTCAGAAACGATTACTTCGGTGTGACAGCTGAACTGTCGTTCAAAACAACCGTGCTGCTTAAACATAAAAAAGAAGACACAACAAAGAATGATAACAATAGTACTTACCCAGAAGCGATCTCCACAAAAGGCGTCTAGTCCGGCTAGGGTTTTGGATACATTAAACTCCATCCAAGAAATACAAACCGATTAAGTTATTAATGAAGTGTCAGTCGCTAGTACAGAATTAGCATTAAAACGCACCCGGCTGGAACTATTAATGTAATAGAGAATATTAAAAAACATTGAAAGAAACGAAAAAGAGAACGGAAGCAGAAAAATGAAGAGCAGAGAGGTTTTGGACACCGGAAACATCAATGTCTGACATGTGGATGACCAATATATTGATTTTCTAGATCATTTAAACGGATGACACTTTCGTAAGTTCTACATGACCAGATAAAATCAAACCAGAACTATAAGTCGCTATGACTGGTCTTCATAGTTTGTTAACGCAGCTTCTGCGCTCAACTGTTACTCACGATAAGCCTCTGAGATAGGGAAGATAATGCAAGCCCGATTCTGCTGATAAAAATCGCGCATGCCAGATAACAGCAATGAACAGAGATCATCTATGGAACTTCAATCAATGCTTCACGGGTTTATAAAAATGACGAGTGAACATTCAGCATTACAGACTAGTAAAAGTGCTCAAAGGAAACAGAAGGACTTGAGAAATTTGAAAGTCTCAAAATTCTAAGTCACATTTGGAGCTCTATTTATCACCTGTATTTCCAACTGGCTTGCAAATAAAGCAATATGCACTCGCCCACATTAGTTCCACTAAAATCTGTGAGCTTCCGACTCGATCTACTAGAAACTGCCTACGCCGCTTTCCTGCTGTGCTATATGCTTCCAGCGAAACAGGAAAATCTCGTGGAAAATTCAACATTTCAAATTTGCTTCAAAAATCAGCGTTTCAGATTGCTAAACGGTCTAACGTAATAACTATATCATTCAAGATATTATGTGTATGATTTCCTCGGTTATTCGGTTGAATATCAACGTCTTCAGCAAAATTACAGGGTGTTGGAAATAGTTACGGAATCAAAGACTGTTTTTACGTACAGTTAGTTATTCATTGCTAGCAATCTAGTGGATAAGTGCGACTAAAATTCTTACTTTTGGACAAATATATTCTTTTTTACGAACCAATCAGTAATATTTTTCATAATTCATCATCTTTATTGTTTTATTGTTACCCGGCATCATAATTTCAATTTGTTAATATTTGTGACTGTTAATTAATTACTATTTATTATCCAATATCACTATCGCTATCTAATATATAAAGAATCGTTAGCTCAATTCAGAAATCTTCAAATAGCGGGAAACCACGGTGCGGTGAAGCGCCCGGATGCAGTCTAGCACCTTTAATTACTGATTCACTAGTTTACTGAACTTGCACTGCCTACGTCGCTTTCCTGCCGCGCTATATGCCTCCAGCGAAACAGGAAAATATTGTGGGAATTTTAACATCCCAGATTTGCTTCAAAAACCAGCGTTTCAGTTTGCTGAACGGTCTTAAGTAATAACTATATCATTCCAAACATTATGGGTATTTTTCCTCGGTTATTCGGTTGAATGTCAACGTCTTCAGCAAAACTACAGGGTGCTGGTAATACTGTTCTTACGTACACTCATTCATTGCTAGCAATCTAGTGGATTTGACTAAGACTCTTACTTTTGGACAAATACATTTTTTGTTACGAACCAATCAGTAATATGTTCCATAATTCATATCTTTATTGATTTATTGGGTACTATTCCAGTATACCGACCCCAAAAATTAAAAATTTCGGATTTCGCTCAAACTCGGTATAGGGGAGTTATTCGATCCGATAATGCCGAATATCATATCGATTCCGTGCGATAGCGCCATTTTCCGGGGGGTTACGGTGGGTATACGGTAGGAGGTCAAAATCACAAAATTCTCTGAAACTTGGTGCAGGGGAGTTATTTGACATGCTGAACACGAATATGATATCCACTCATTACGGTAGCACCTCATTCCGGGGTTACGGTGGGTATACTGTAGGAGGGTCTAATTCACTGCTTTCCACACCCACCGCCGCGCGTGATACACCCTGCGGCGGCTTTCGCCTAAGCAAAGCAGGGAAATCTCCGACGTGTGACTGAGATTTCAAGCCCTGAATCTGGATCTAGCGGTGGTACTGGTAATGTATACCCAACGTAACGTCGGAATGAGGCACTATCGTAACTAGTAAACATCATAATCGTGATCAGCATGTCGAATAACCCCCCCCCCCCGTACACGAAGTTTCAGCGGATATCGTGATTTTGACCCCTTACCGTATACCCACCACAACCCCGGAATGAGGAACTACCGTAACGAATAAATATCGTATTCGTGTTCAGCATGTTGGATAACCCTCTCTTACCGGGTTTCAGAGAATTTTGTGATTTTGACCCCCTACCTATACCCACTGTAACCCCCACAAAATGGCGCTATCGCACGGAATCGATATGATATTTGGCATCAGCGGATCCAATAACCTCCCTACACCGAGTTTGAGCGAAATCCGAGATTTTTAATTTTTGGGGTTGGTATACTGGAATAGCGCCATTTATTGTTACCCGGCATCATAATTTCAATTTGCTGATATCTGTGACTGTTAATTAATTATCATTTATTATCCAATATCACTATTATTATCATTATTAATATAGTGATTATTATCATTATCACTATTTGTCTTATTATTATTATTGTTGTTATTATGTTCTTTATCCGTCCTCAATTATTCAACTAACTATTGCTACTACAGTATCAAGAATTACTGGTTATTCATAAATGCCTATCAGAAAATCATTATTAATGATATTTCAAGATTTGATGTATGGATGTTAGCCGGATGAAGGTGCTACCTTCATTTGCATAAATCAGTCCCAGTTTTTGCTCCGGCTACAGTGTTTGCTCCGTTCAGGCAAAAAGGGTTTTGGAAAGGCGAAAATTTGTGCGGAACCTGTTTTGAGGTTTTTTGTAGGTATGGAATGTGAGAAACACGGCCAGTGAGCTAATGTACAGAAGAAATTTTCATTAAAGCTGGAGTCCACCTCTTTGCTAGATGTTTTTGCTTTCTTCATATAAGAATTTTGTACAATCGAGGAACTCCTTGTGGAAGCTGTATCCCACAAGCCTTATATACTAACCATAGCTCCCATCCCCTGGATTCTGAAACTCGTCTCTGAAACTCCTACTGTTTTTTCAGAGTAAAGTAGGCAAAGAAGAGATAAAGCTTACTACATTCTCTGAGCATCGGAGTTGTCATTCCGAATAGAAGCTTTGCTGGAAGGCAAAAGGTCGATTCCTCGAATAAATGACTTTTTGTGCCTTTTCATTTCAAACAGATTGCGATTTTAGAGCAAATTATGATTATGAAATTATGAATTTGATTAAGATTCTTAATCAAATTGTACTACGTATCGTGAGCACGTATCGAAGTAACTTAACAAAACAAAACTTTGCTACTTAACTTACTACATAAACTGTCGCATCATTTTACCCGACTTTGTATCAAGTATTTTATATAGTGCAAAAATAACGTTCTAGAACTTCTAGGAATTATTCAAATTCCAGATTTTTTTCCAAGATATAACAGAATTTTTCTGAACTCCGTTTTCCTCCCATGATCTCGGACTACTTGTATATCCGGTAATCACAAAATCGAAATCATGTCGATTGCAGTTTAGAGCGTTTTGAATTCACCTTACATCCTGTAATATTGAGAGATTTGTGAATCTTTGCCTTACGGCTGGAAATATCATCTAAAAAAATCCACGCATCGAGAACTAACGTAAAATATGCGGGTCTTTCGGGGTAGGGTTTTCAACTTTTTACCAACTGAGCTTTTCAAGAATCGTTTGAAAGTTTCAAAGTGAAAAAAAACTGGGCAAGGCAGAAATAACAGTCTTACAGTCTTTGATACCTTCTTGTTAGAACCTCTGAGAAACCTAATAAGCCACAATTCCAAAACCATAAAATCAGACTTTATTATGCTTGTAATTTAACGTAATTTCTGCAGTTTTACATCGTTGAGGAGTCTCTTTGTAGCATCAGCGTCCCATGGTGCGTCTGCGTAAATATTATTCAGAATAACCATTCTGAATGCGAATGTGAAAAGGTAAGCGAATTACTGCTTTTGTTATATATTATATCAAACATTCTGTTGTTAACGCATATCGCCAATAATGGTGTCGAAGGAGAGAATTTCAAAGCAGTATTATGTAATAAGTTATTTTGAATATGTTCAGATCAGTGTGTAAGATTTTCGATTCTTTTTGCTTAGTAGGTGACTGCATGTGGCTATTAACGAATTCCTGAGCAGATTTGCCGGTTTTGCCCCAACAGATTGAAAGAACTAGTGAACCAGTAACCTTAATGGCACCGTCCACCCAAAATTTCGACTTCCATGTTTTTGCCGTCCCAGGGCCTTCTCATACTCCTGATTTCGAATATCAAGTTGGAAATCCGCGAAAACCACGAAAAACCCCGTTTTCAGAACCCGCAGAGCGATTTCTTCGGTACGGTGATTGGTTGGGCGCGCACGGATGGGCGGGACGAACGTCACGCCCACTCCGAAAAGGGAGGAGCCAGCGTCGCGAACGCGGCCTGAAGCGATTTCCGAAGCAATTTTCTCGGTTCGGAAGCAACACCAGGCAGCGCGAGTTGGGCAATCATACAATTGCGGGCACCGCATCTGCTAGGTATCATAATCTCACCAACCCCAATTTGCTTGGACGGTGCCTTTAAAGGTGCTAGAAGGCGCGCTCGCTTCGGGACCTGCTCGGTTTCCCGCTATCTGATGATTTTTGAATTTCGCTTACGATTCTTCATATATTAGATTAGATTATAGATACGCACGATATAGACTAAGCTAATGCCTATCCTTACAATTTTTTCTGAAGCCTTTAAAGGCCCAAACTTAACCTTTTTCAACTGTCCTACTCTTCAGGAGCTGCCCAACCCATGTTACAATAAATATCCCAACACCGTTGGGATATTGACAGTGACATTGGACATTTGCGCCGCTGCCATTGGTTGTCTAGGGTCCCGACACTCCTCTCTACGCACGCCGAATAGAAGTCAGGAAGTCAGGAACACCTAGAGAAGCAATGCCACTATAGCAATGGCGTATAAGTGGGTCTAGTATCGTGCCATCGTAATCACAACCGTATTATTGATTTTTTGAGTAGTATTTACATTGTACAGACAAACAAATAGATCTCATTGTTTAGCATGAGTGCAAGATCTTCATAGTAATTGAGTTTCGATATTGATCATTAGTTATTTTTTTGTTTTTGCCTTAACGATTTTATAACGGACCAGAGATAGAGTATTCTTGGTTTGCTGGTTTTTCCGATGGCAAACAGGTAGTTCTGAGGTAGCGTAGGCGGTAAGTGTCAATACCTATCTACTACAGTAAAGACATAACGGTCAAACAAATGATAACGGACAGCTATATTACTTGCAGAGTGACATTTACTGTTCCTGATAAGCCGTTCACCCTCGTTTATGTGTTCCCGAATCGACTGATTTTGTTGTTTACATGTGGATTGTGGTCTTATCTTTTGCCAAATTCTCAATCTTGATTTTTCTTTTTCCAGTTGTAAATGCACAGTCCAGATGGAAAGAAACAGTACTCGTTCAAGATTCTTGTCATAGGAGACCCAGCCACTGGAAAGACTTCTATTATTAGACGATTTGTTCACAATGTTTTCACAGCCAACTACAAAGCAACGGTACTTTAATCACTCTAAGCGAATGTATTTTATCGTTACGTTATCAACTTAGAGTTTATTTTAGAGTATTACAGATAGGAGTAGACTTCGCGCTAAAGCGGATCGAGTTAGACGACGGCATGCAAGTTTATCTACAGCTGTGGGACATATCAGGTATGATTTGAAATGTACTCTTCCTTCTATTTGCGTTTTATACCTCTTTTTCCATCCTATAAATTTCACTAAAATGGCGATTATGTGGAGGCGGCTTTTAATTTACGTTACATCTGAAACATGTGTACCTCAAAATATCCAGGGAATCCCACGACTTGTGCTCTTACAAGTTCCCTTTACTGATTTCAATCTATTAGTTGTTTGGAAAATAATGCAACACATTCTACCGTGGCAGAATGAATAAAAGACAGTGAATGGAAAACCATTTGATAGAGCAAAGCATACTTTACGAGACGGCCTCCAAACATTGGCACAAACTTTGATCCAGTATTGAAGCCAAAATATAGCTCATTTTCAAAAATCGAAAAATCGGTCTCTTCTTAGAATCCATACGGACCTCAAATTTGCTCATGCAAGTACTCTTTATATCAGACACTCACATGTACTGCTGCTGAATTTCTTCCATTGCTAGAATAAGAAGAATAAAAATAGGGCGTAAATACAAAAATGTCGCTTTTTTTTCGTTTTTTTTGCTGAATTTAATTCTCAAAAAATTAGCACTTTCAGAGAGCTGGAAATTAATGGTATACTTCTAAAAGTTGATACTAAAAATTTAACCATTTGGAAAAAGTCTAGGACATCCACAAGCCCAGGACCGCTTTTGCAAAAGTATGCGAAATTCCGCTCCTTTGAGTTAGCCATGGAAAAATCACGAAACTCTGCATACGTGTGTTTGAAGAAGAGAGTGTATTCCATACGCAATTTGGGGGTCCATAGGAGTTTTGGGAAGAGATAGGATTTTTTTCGATTTAAGGCATTTATAGTATTTCAAATTTTGCTCTAAAATTTAGGTAAATCTACTTGATACAAATATGACAGTGAAAATGTATTTATTTATTTTGTATGTTAAATGAATTGATATGGAAATCTTTTCTTGTAGAGCATGCCTTGGTCTAAAATGGTAACACATTCACTTTTTTGTGTTCACCCTACCGTATTGCATGATCTCAGCTTTCCCAATTTCATCATAATAGACTCAAGCTGAGTCATCTTTATCTACCGCTTTTTTCCTCACTCAAGACACTTAATGCTCTTATCTTTTCCATCCATTCCATCAAACATCCGCTGCCTTATTTTGACAGCTACAGAAGCTTCTAGTATGACAGCTTCTAGCAGCTTGCCCTATTTGTTTCTCATCACCTCTCTTGAACTCACAAAATTAATGCACACTAACGAATCTTTATGGTACAATGATGAAAGCTCCGGGTTTTTTGATATTCCGAATTAAACGCGAACATATGGCCGATACGAATCTGTGAATACGTGAGCAAGTTGTGTTTGTGATGAGCTAGACTGGTACATTCTCGGCGGTTCTCTTTCGGCATTTGATAGAGTGTAGCCGTAAAATCTGCAAGGAAACTGTTCTTTCTAAGCAAAAATAGGAAATTTCTAAAACTTATTTTGAAGCAACTAAGTATTCTAAGCAACTGAGCCTACTACCGTGACCTAGCACCTTAACCTACCCTGATTCCACTTGATACGGCTGCCCATAGAATCGCTTTGATGTGTGATAATAAAAAGGATTCTCTCTAGCAGACCAATAAACAGTCTGCTCTTCCATTTGTTGTACAGGAATCTAAGCGCATAATCATAAGCACTTTACCTTAGATTTTGTTGTCATCCTAACCCACCGGACTTCGACCACTGACGGTGTCGATCCGATGACTTGAACGAGATGTTCCTATCGGATACGATTCATCTCCAAGTGGGGCTACCACTGTGCTATCCGGTGATGTTGAGTGATAGTGCAGGAGATAAGGCGACCTAGACCTAATAAAATGACTTAAAGTTTGCACATAGGTTCATTTGGTGTCCTTGCGGTGACGGCAACGTTCGCGCGCAATAAATGTCGTGCATGTGAATGCCGACGGACGTCTGCTTGTGACTTGAGCGTAAAAATGGCCGTAGAGGGCGTACTGCTATTGCTTACGCGCAAATGTTGTCGGCAACGTAAGAACACTATATAAAAAATCAAATCCACCAATTAGTATTTTGCTGGAAATTTGCTAGCTCCTCTAGAAGGCCTCTACTCACGATTACTACAGTCTATTCTTGTCGGAATCAGCTCAGACTAGGTTTGCTTGATATCGTCATGGATATGCGTCACGTTAAGCCTTCATAAACAAAGTCGCGGCGGGACCATGTCTATCCCCTACTCATTCTCTGCAGTCTCCGGCTGGCAATGGCCAAGGTTTTGCACGCGCCCGCAATGCATACCGTAGCCGTTTCTGATGCACTCTTCACGTCATTTTTATAAGTGACTCCGATAGAAACAGACTGTAGTCATTTTTAACCTCATACGTGAAAGAAAACAAACTTCAGTAAGCTGTAGAGGACTCCACACAATGTCGCCAGCACGCAGGCTAAGGCAGCGCCAGCAGCTAAGATCAGCGCAACATCGTAGATTGTTCGTTGTTGACTAGTTGCGCCAAGCATGCCAGCAGTGTTGATTTTTTCTTGCTAAATAACAACCATATGAGAAATAATTATGAAAGTATAGCAATTACACAACGAATTTCGGATTCAAAATACATTACTGAAAGTGGGCATTTTTCCAAAAGCATTCTTCTTTTCTGAGTGAGTTAGATCGAGCTTGGCAAGAAATTTTTTTTTGCGAAAACAAGGAACAAAAATATGTTGAGGGATTGCTTAACTATTTTTTTACTGTACATATCTATTCCGAAATTGTAGCAGTAGCACATTCTTGTCCAGCCGTTGGAACCTTTATCTTGGATAAGCTTTTTCAAGAAATTCTTATGAGACATTGTGCTTTTTACATTGCAAATAATATAATTCCTACCATTGCCTGACTTTCTTCAAATCTCCTTCATCAAAAATAACAATAACTTCTCTATTACGTGAGAGGAAGTGAATTAACATGCAGTAAAAGAGCTTACCATAAAGTATACATTCGTCATAGCTGGAGAAAGTGTAAATAGCGCCAATGCTGCCACTATAATCTGCAGAATCACAGATACTGTGATCAGACGTGGATAGCAGATGCAGCACAGCTAAAATAATTATTTGGAAAGTAGGATTGAAGGTGTCCGAGATAATTGAAGATCAACGCTTAAGTAGATACAATTTTGGGCTAACAAGGGAGGTCGAATCAGTCGAAGTGGCCTTTCCAAATGGGTCATATACCATTTTGAAGAGCGTTGAACGCTGATTCCGAATCTGCCTTCATTATCTGCCGAGCGCTTCTGGACGTCGAGTTATAAAATTTTTTTGGAGCGAAAAATGAACTCAGAATTCAAGTAAAATTAACTATTACGGACTTTTCAGCGCCTAAATAGAGCAACATGTAGTATGAGTGTTTTGGACAGAAGGTATCCTTTGTAATGGAGTGCTCTGATAACCAACTTCGGACCATTTGAGCAATTCTGACGAATTTTGCTCTAATTACGCATTAAATTTTTCAACCAAAGGAACGCTCATAACTCGGCGTCCAGAGGCGCTCGGCAGATAACGAAGACAGATTTAGAATCAGCGTTGCATGCTCTATAAAATAGTGTGCATTTCATATGGAAACGCCACTTCGACCAAGTATCCTTCCCTTGTAAGCTAACTCAGTTAATCAAGCTTTAATGGTTTACACATAATAATATTTTCTGTAGCAAGTACTCTAGCACAGTAAATAGCTCCCAACTAACAATAAGTTTTAACTCGGAGGAAAATCTAGAAGCGCTTCAGAGGCGCAGTAGCCAATGGCAGCAGCGCATCTACTTTCTCAGACCGCTGCCATTGGCTGGGGTGCTTCTCGGCACGATTTTTGAAATCTGGATAGTGCTTCTGAAGAAGAGTACGCTGACCTGTATGATAACAGCGGCGAGAGCGAGGGGTCCATTTCCAAGTCGAAAGAACGGTACATCAATGGGCACCTACAATACCACCCGTAATTTGTGAAAAAAAATGGCGGCGGCACTTAAAACTTACGCGGCGCCGCCGAAGTTAGGTGACTTTTGCCGCGTCGCGCGGCAAAAGTCGGCGGAAAAGCGGCCAAAGTCACCTAACTTTGTCGCGCAACGCCTAACTTTTTATAAAAAAAGACCTTATCTTGATTCAAAATTCATGAATTCTATATATAAGAGTACCATTCAACTCAGCTCGGCGAGGCGCATCTTCCAATATACCGGATGTGCCTAGTTGTGGGATATAAGTTTCTTTCCTGAAATTTTAGTGTGAATGGACCATTCAGTGTGCTGATTCCAGAGGCTACGTACACATTCTATTGAGCATAGCAGAAATAGGGCAGGTATAGTTTAAGAGCTCATTCTGCATGGATATATGTGAAACTGGGCAGCTCATTCTGCATGGATATGTGTGAAAGTGGGCTTTTCTCGGCGAAGTATGACGGGTCCCAAAATGCAGGAAGACAAAGGGAAATGGTTGGAAATCGCATGAGGAGCACATATCGCGGAATTCCGCGCGTGCTGTGCAATGTACAATACCACTCACAGAACGGGAATTGCGCGAAATTCCAGAAATTTCGCGATTCCGGATTATCGCAAATTATGCAGCGCCATAACTTCCTTCGGAATTAATATATTCTAAATTCGAAAGCAGCACTGTGTTCATCTCGTGAAGGCGAATCTTTCTACGTACATCATGTCATCAATATCTTGTTTTCAGTTTTCTCAAATTGTTCTGAGGAGGTCCCTTTGCAAGTATGTAACGCAGCGCCTATCCAACTTGAAAGCTTCCAGTAAGCACCATTCGAAAGTGCTCTTCTTGTGCATTATAGTGCGCTAGTAAGCTGCCGCAGACTTCTTTTCAAAAGAGAAAAAAGCGTTGGTAAATTCTGGAAAAATCACTCGTTTCCAGATTCTACTTGCCGTAACTTTCTTTGGAGTGGATATTTTCTGAATCCGAAAAATGCATTGTGCTCAGCTCATCAAGGCAAATCTTTCGGTATGCAGAATGTCCTTGATATCTCGATTTCAGTATTCTCAAAACTTTCTGCGGACGTCTCTTCGCAAAGGTGTGAAGCAGCGCGTATTGCCCCCAGTACATTCAGAAAGAAATTTTCAATAGTACTTCTTTTGTAGATTATGGAGCGCTAGAAAGTAGCCGCACACTCCTTTTCAAAGGAGTTAGAAGGGCTGGTGAATTCTGGAAAAATCATGTCCTTCTAAATTTTTCTCAACGTAACTCTAAAATATGAAGCTCTCTTGCTAAGCAGATGTGATTTTCGTAACCAGCAGGTCGGATAACCACTATGAGCAAGTTTTCCGAGATTTTCGGGTCATTTCATTTTTTCTCGTTTTACGCTCTGGAAGCTCGCCGATGGATTTTGGTCAAAATGTTGATGCTCCTGGATTGTAAGGAAACTTCGCTTATAGAGGTTTTCGAACACGCTCTTTACGAAAATCGTGGTCTTTGAGGATTGCAGGGTCTTTTTGGTGAGATACGGTGAGGTGACTGTAACTGCACCACGAAAGTGCGTAAATTGGCCCGCACTTCTCGTGTATCTGTCAGCAACCTTGCCTGCTTGCTTTTCTCAGTCAAAGTTACTAGGAACTGCGCTACCGAATGGTGCATGAATCAGGCTCCAGTCTGTAAAAATCACCGAGTTACGAGCCTATGAAAACACGTTCTCATGAATTTTGCCCAAATTGTAAAGATCGCAAATCTCGTCGAAATTCCACCGTGAGCGCTTCTATGACACTCGCATTGCGGATATTGTGTTCCCTTCGCCCAAAAACTCCCACTGTATTGAATATGGTGCTTGCATATGCTTCAGCTGCTCAGTTGAATATCAGAGCTATTTCAGTGGCTAGAACTCAAACTACTAAATCTAACACAATAAGATCCATTAAGGACGCGAAAGATTTTGATCAGTACTCTGCGTTGATACCACTGCTTGAGTACTCTGCGTTGATACCACTGCTT